GGAGGAGGAGGAGGAGGAGGAGGAGAAGGAGGAGGAGGAGGAAGACGAAGAGGGGAAGAAGGAGTAGGGCAAGCCATAGCAGTTTGAAGCCATGTTTTCAACATTAATATTTTCCTTGTATTCATGTTTACTCCCCAGGAACTGGGAACATCGAACGCAGGGACACAGATAAGGTAATTTGAAAAGAAATGTCACAATAACCATAATATTATAATAGGAAAAAAGTAAACATTTTTTAAACAGGTCTTAGGGACCAACTGCCAGCGAGCCATACCCAGCCCGTCTTTGGGGATTTTACTTACTTAAGTACTGAGCGGCGAAATAAATAAAGAAATTCTGGAGTTTCTGGGATATTTCAGGTTTCCTACTTTTTGTCACGTTTTAAATAAATCTTTTTTTGTGAGTAATCTGTCACGCCCATTTATCTGTTATTTAAAAAATGTACGTAGTTTTTTAAAATGCCCATACCGACATAATTCAGAATATTACGGAGGGGGGGGGGGTGAACTTGCAATAAGGGTCAACCCAGGCTGAGAGAGATACAACGTCCCAGAAGAAAGAAGCCCAAGACACTCGATGAAATTTTTCTCCACGCGGGAATCGAACTCAGGCCTTCTGTGACAGATGGCAAAACGCCTGACTGCCATGCCACAGACGCCGGTATCACAGCCATGAAAAAAGGGAAATATGGACGCTTACAATAATGATACGTAAATTATTTACTCATTGATTCTCAGAAGTGGTTGGCAAAGTAACTTTAAAGTAAAGAATGCTCAAATAATATTATAACATTATACACCCAGGTACAAGTCTAATACTTTAAAGTTAATCTTTTTCAAAAAGAAAGCTCAGCTCTATTTCCCAGGTATGCCAATCTAAAGTTCAGTCACCCGCCTAACATACCATGCTATAACATGAATCTTTAACGTTAATCACCTACTTAATTACATAACAAATGCCTATCTGTAATTAAGTATGGATTAGCATGGAGAAGGAGGAGAAGGATCTAAAAACAGAATACGAGCTTTTGAGAATACTTATTTGGCTCATGTCCTCTTATGAACTGCGGTAAGTAGCGTCCCCCCCCTTCCCAAGAGATCTTTCTTAACTCTTTAAGGGCGTAATGGACACACAACGCTACCTTGGCATGACAAAGTTTTTTTTTGCTCAGTGCCAAGTTTCGAGAAACCTGATGTTAAAAAAAAAGAAGAGTTTTACAAAATGTCAAGCAAGCTATTTGGAATACAAATCTTTGAATATCATAATAACTACTAAGAATAATCTTACAATTTTCACAGAACATATAGAACATTTCGGTTTCTGACCTCATGGTCTTAGTAGCTCAAAACGGTCAAAATTTTTATATATCTGTATTATCAATGAAGCTATAAAAAAAGCCCCGCCCCTTACCTCCCTCCCCAACCCCCAAACTAAACCAAAACAAAAAAGGTAAATCACCTCCACTAAAAA